CCCCAAAACCCCAAAACCCCGTGAATCTGAATCGAGATTATTTTGGATAAAGTAATAATAAAATAGAGAAAATGCTTGAAAGTCTAATATCAAGTTTACTTAACAGATTTTTGGGTTCTTTTATTGAAAACTTAGACTCGGAGTAATTAAACATCTCTCTCTGGAGTGGGAAAGTAGTTTTAGAGAACCTATTAGTAAAATAAAACCTTTTCGACTCAATGCCATTGCCATTTACACTTCATTATGGAAAAGTAGGGAAAATCTTACTAGAGATACCAGTGATAAACATTGCAAGTTCACCACTAAAAATAGAGATAAAAGACATCTTTATTTTTGTAAAGCCAAAGCACTTCAATATGTGGAATGAAAAAGTTGAAATTGAAGCATTCGTAACCAAGACTTTGCAATTTCTTGACAAGTATGAGGCCTATCTTAGTGAGTCCACTTAATTAGAGTAAAGTAATCCTGGAATGATGGCGAATTTGATTCAGAATATAATTAACAACATTCAATTGAAAGTTTCTAATGTCTATATCAGAGTTGAGGAAGAATTATCTATACCTGAGTAGCCTTTTTCTTTAGGAATAATAATCGGCTCAATCCAAGCTCGTACTATGAATGATAACTGGCAAGAAGATTTCGTAACTGGTAGAGATATCACTAATAAATAAGTCACCATAAAAGATTTTGCTGTGTACTAAAATTTCTCCAATGACCATAAAGAAGTGTTTTTTGAATACATTACTAAGGATTGGGATGAGCCTGATCAAGACAAGAAGTACTTGAGGTTCTTGAAATAGGAGTGCAATTTTGAGAATCCCAGAAATAATTACATTATCAACAGATTTCAACTATAAGTGAGAGCTGCATTGAACAACAATGTTCTTAATATGAAACCTTAATTTTGGATAAATATGGCATTAGGTGGTTAATTCAAAGATGCTTAACATGAAGTCACCACTGAGGAAGGTCAGTTCTTTTATTTCTCAGCATAATAGCAGCAGATAACCTCGCTTCTAAAGCTATTAGAATATATAGGAAATTACGGTAAATTCTAGGCAGGAGTCATTGCATAGTTTTATAAAAGAGAAATGTCTCAATAAGAAGAAAATATGTAAGTTATCTTATATTTTCATTATACTTAGTTACATGGAGACATATCTGCTCTATAAAGAAAATATAAGAGGCAATCAAAATCCTGAACTCGCTTAGCAATATCTTGATGAGATTAGGAATAATTATGAAAAATAATTTACCTACGAGAAGTTAATACTGCTTAGAACCATCGCCACCAAAAAATTTGAGTTTGAGCAATTGTAAGATTCCCAAAAATTAAAATCTCTTATTTAGGAAAAATTAAGAAGTTACCAAGATTGAAGATAAGGTAAAGGAGTATGAATACTCAAAGTAGGGCTATTTCAATTCTGTCAAGGGATGGTTTGGATATGGTAAGCCACAAGAAGAGATTGAGGAGGAGAAAAAGCAAATAGAGGAGTTTAGAGACAAACTGGTGAGAGAGACTGAAAACACTCTTCATGCATAAGAAGAATAATTAGAGCAAGAAATCAACATTATGAAGTAATAAAAGAATGCATAGTTAGAAGAAAAAACAGCCCTTGAGAAGGCATATGCGATTAATCCAGACTATGTCTAGTTTGATGTAATGATTAATATTCCCAGAATGTAATTCGTTCTCAAAAAAGAGGATAATGAGCAGCTAATTGAGATTTAAATTGAGAAAATGAAATCGTATAATTAGAAAGGAATAGACTTTTTGGATGCCTAATTCTCTTTGCATATTTTCAAGATTATTGATCATATTTCTGGGTCCAAGATCTATCCTAATTTAGTAGAAACTTATCTACCAATGGCTGAGAAAGTTACTAAAAGAGCTTTCACTAAACAGCTGACCCTGCTTGGTCTTTAAACCTCTATTACCAAGAGACTCGATAACAATGATAAACTTGATGAAAAGAATGCTTTAAATTTGAGATTTATCAATAATGCTAGAAAGAATAAAAACTCTGCCTTAAAATTGACTATAAAGAGCGACGCTCAGTTGTATATAATTGCAAACTTTAAATGTATCAATGAAGTCTAAAAAATGTTCGGGAAGGCATTTGCAAATTAAGCAGGAATGGTGGATTACTATAAAAATGTTGCGAGTGAACAAGTGTTTAAATATGTTTATGAGGGAAGTGAATTCATGATGACAACTTAAAAAGAGTTAGAAGAACAATAAAATATGGTGCCATAGCATGCCTCAGCCATTTTAGATATATGCTTGAATGCGCCAGTTCTCTTTATACCAGAAGATTATGATACTTTTTAAGATAAATAAGTTCTAGTCTTAGATCTTGGCTAAGTTATTATTGATAGCAAGATAGTTGAATTTAATCCAAAGAAGAACTATAAGCTAGAGGAAAACTTTATGCTTTTGTATGATTCCTACAATTTTAGTCTGAAGGATTTCTAGATTATAGCTTATGACAATTTAAGTGACTATCAAAACTATAAAACCATTAAGCAAACTAAAATCATTAAAGACACCACTCTAGTCATCAATTTCTACTATTGCTTAGAAACCAAACACCCTATTTTCCCTCTCTATGAGATAAACGTCAGACTCAAATCAATGAATATTATCGCTAGTGACTATATAGCTCACTTCATGCAATCCTTACAAATTGTAGTTAATGAAAAGATGGCAATACCAGAAGAGCCTGAAGAAACCAAACAAGAGGAATCAGAGTCTCCTGTGAAAAAGCAGTAGGAGTAAGAAAGCAAGAGATTTAGCAATATAGAAATTCTGGACTAAGAAGAGGAAAAATTAGATAAAGTAGATAAACTTTATCAAAAGGTTAGAGAGGTTGAGTAGAATATGAAAAAGAAGGAGTCTTAACTTTCAATAGATAGTTTTCCCACTAGGAAATTGAATTCAACATTGAATCGGTCACATAATACTTAAAACAGATCTAGGTTCGGGAATAATAGTTTAAATATCAACGACGATGATGATTTGCTGGAGTTCAAAAGCTGTCTCTCACAGAGCTAGAATCTAGAGGAAGAAGATATGAACTCAGCAAGATCTCTTCCACAAAATGCTAGAATTAGAATGATCAAGAAGATGAATGAGCAGACTCTGAGCACCATCTAGGAAAAGAGAAAAACAGAGAGTGTCGCTATAAATGTCATTCTTAACATTGGTCTCCTTGACATCTTAATTCAAGAAGAGATCGATGCTAGTGACCCAAGAGTTAAACTTTCAGAGTCAAATTATAAAGACTAAATTCATCTGAGGAGTAGGTATTTCCAGGATATTTTACGTATTAGAATGTGCGACTTGGTGTCAACCTTTTACCAAGATTTAAAAGGCATTCAAAGAGTATCAGTAGTGCTGACAAGTTTCGACATTCAGGACATCAACATGGAACTTGAAAGATAAAATGAACTAAAGCTTTACACAGTGATACCTGAGTGCTATTCTCACATAATGGGAAATCCTTAATTTTCTATCAAGCAAATGGAGGATGAAGATATGATGTGGTCTGACGAGGATGAGTAGAAGAAAAAATTCAATGCTATTCACTAAGTCATTGAATCAAACAGAAATTCAAAGCAGCAGAAGTCCAGACAAGCTAAGAATTTCTCTGTTAAATCGCTCGATTTTAGATCTTGCTACTCTGGAGCTTCTTTGACATCAGGGGCTGCAAGTTTGAATATCAAAGAAATTGAAAGAGTGAGTCAAGTCTATATTAGAGCGATCATAGATCCAGACCCCAAATAAACCAAGAAAGAGGTTGATTTTGTCTTCTCAGATCTTAGGATGATAGTATCACTACCGACCTTTGAAAAGCTATTCCATTTTTCAAAGAAATTCAATCCGCCACCAAGCGAAGAGGAGAGATAATCGATGCTCTTTGAAGAACAGCAAAAGCGATTCTTGAGAGAAAGCATTGAGAGGAATACATAGGCAAGCAACTCTGCAGATAAGCTCGGTGCTTCAATTCTCAGACATAGCATTTCAAAGACAAGAATAAGTGATTACCAAAGAAAGATCCAGGAGATAAAGATTGAGAAAAGTGGGTAACAGGGTTACTTTATTTTGACTAATGAAAGAAAAACTAAACTTAAGTTGAATGGTAGATTCAAGAATCTTCAACTATGGATTCCATTAGATGCAGCTGATAGTCATTCTAGAGTTTTTCAGTTCTCCTTGATGAGCTAAGTCAATTACAGAAAAGATTCAATAGATTTGGATTTTATAAACTCAGTTACAAATGATGTCATGATAACAAAGCCCTAACTTTCAAGAGAAGACGGTATTGTGACTCTAAATCAACTGCAAATCCAAATGATCAATAGACACTTGCTTGAGGATGACAATGATGAACCCTCAATTGAGAAACTACTCGAACCCAGTAGAGTGACTATCAGTTATGAAAACCTTATCAAGGACAGTGGATTGAATACTTATATGAGTTTAGATATGCTAGTTGAGCCTTTTGAGCTTAAAGTAGGTTTCAGAGAAGTGGAGTTCTTCAAGAAATTAAACGAAAACGCTTCTAAATTCCTTTCTGTAATCAATCAATCTTCTGATCAGCTTGATCTAACCCTAGACACAGAAATTGACAATGTTGAAAAAGAGTTGACTAGGTTCAAAAACAGAGAGTAAAAGGAGCTTTCCAAGCAAATTACAAATCAAAATAGTACTCATAGAACTAAAATCAAGAAAGAAGAGGTAATTACAATTAACATTAATATATTAGCAAATCAATGTGATGACAGTTAAATTCAGATGCGATACTTTCAGGTTTAGTCTGATGGATGACACTGGAATGCAAGAATATCCAGTGATATTTATGAATCTAAGAAACCTAAAATATGATTCAAAAGTTTATGAGGACATTGATGATGCTGCAGTGTTTATACTTAAGGTATGAAATATATTTAAACTTAACACTTTATAGAAAATGGGACTAATGAAGAAGAAAAATAATGAAGAGGAGCCTTACTTGAATACGTAAGCTTCTGTAAATATGGAAGTTTATTACTTCAACATGAAGATTCAAGCTTACGAGCCAGTTCTCGAGCCTTGGTAGATAGAATTTACTCAATATCAAGAAGAGAGATATATTTCTTAGAAGACAAAAGTGACTTCAAACTAGATGATGAATATCAATGTGACTTTCGCTCTAATGCAAGCTCTTACCAAAATTCAGCAAAGAATGTCTCAGACATCAGATGATTGGGAAGATGAAATAAGAAGCTCTTAAATCTTTAGCAGAAAAACAACTAATGCTGCAAACGATGCTAAAATTGTGTCTACAAAGCCAAATCCAAAGGTAAATAAATATCTATCTAATTATAATAGGTGACTCTTGAGAGCTTTATAACTGAAACAGATGAATAGAGTGGATTCATCTTTATAAACAGGCTCAATATTGATTGCAAATTCTATATCGAGGGTTAATTAGCTTTTGATCTTAGAAATTAAATAATTCAAGGTCTATTTGGTGGTGCACCCAAGCAAAGTGAAGATCTAACTAACTTTGATCTTGAAGAGGCCTTAAGACTAATTGATGAAACTGATCCCAAAGCTCATTTTAAGAAATTGGCATTGTATAGAAAATTGAGTCTTAGAAAACGAACTTTGGAAAAGCAAATTGAAAAAGTTACAGAACTGCAGAAAAATGGTTAAAACATGAGAAAGTTTAGAAAAGCTGATGAGCTATTCTATTTAATGAAGCAAATTAAAAAGTAAAATGCATAGCTATATAATTATTTTTAGTGGTTAAAATAATGAGAAATATGTTCCTGGCATAGAAGATCAAATTCTGAGAATTGATCTGCATATTGACGGCTTAAGGAAAATTAAGGCTATTCCGATAGAGCTAGGTGGAGTGTTTTCATTCTTAATTGAGATGAAATAAGAGCAAAAGGCTGCTATATCAGAGTTCTAAACTATTAAGCCCAGCATATAAACAGTAAATCAAACTCCAATTGCTGTGATATGTAAGGTACAGTTTGAAAACCAAAACAAGAAAGAAGTTGAGTTCCATTCATCACTGATGTTCTCAAACAATACAGGGTACAGTATTACAATCTGTGGTCATAAACCTGGTTCAATGGCGAAACAATCAAAGAAAGATTCATTTATGGACTAGCTTCTAGATGAATCATCTATAATTGAAAAGAAGAGGAAGATAATAGAGCCTAACAAAGTGTTTCATGTCCCTTTATCATGGTTTATCAAGAGAAAATCAATTTATATTTAGCAGAAGGGGAAATTCTAACTACTTTACTCTGACATTAGAGAGTGTTTTAATCCTATCTTGAGTAATTATAATTACCTGAAACCTTAAAACTTTGAGGTCTTTGACCAAGCATCAATCGATTACAGATACATCTCTTGCAACATATCTCAGTTTAAGTGTAAACCAACCACTCTGAATGTTCCTGGTCAATTCTTAGTCAGCTTTACTCCTCCAGTATGTGTTTGCAACTATTTATTCAGTGAATTAGCCTTGAACTCTAATGTCCTTAAGAGCGAGTTAGCAGAGATCGAGTCTGCAAACTACACTTATGTGAGTTAACTTAAGTTTGAGGAAAAGCCTGATAAGACTTTGGAATGTGACAGCTAAATTCAGTGGAGATTCAAAGATGCGGATGGATTCTATTATGAAACCCAAGACGTGCCCTTCTTTAAGAGTCAAAAATAAAATTAAAAGAATCAATTCTTGAATCCTATCAACTAACTTACATTTTACAAGAATACTGGTGGATCTAAAATTATTGAAGAATAAAAAGGCATTAAAATTGAGGATGAAAGTGCTAGCTATTCTATTATAAATCTTGAAATGACTAGCTTTAACTTGCTTGACAATGAATACGACAATTTTCAGTTGAGAGATAAGGTCTTTGAAAAGACTTCAGCAGTAACACTTTATATTTACCCATAGGCAATGGTTGTTAATCAAACTAACACAGACATCTATTTGAAAACTTTGATCAACAACAATAAGAGCAAAGATGTGCTTATTTAAGGGTAAACCAATGAGTTCTTTTACTCATCTACTAATAAGCTTCAAATGAGAGCTCCAAATTATTGTAAGATTTCTTTTATTTCTAATAAAGGGTAGAGTGGTCTAAGCAGTTCGATATTTCGACTCTAGGCCTGACTGGATCGGTTGAAATCTATCAGGAGAAAGATATCATAGAAGGTACCTAAAATGTGCTGAACTATGGTATAATCATTGAAAATGGATTGAATGAATTTAGCAAGACTAAAATTATCAGAATAGTCCCTCGTTACATAATTTTCAATAATCTAGACGATCCTCTAATTGTAAGGCAAAAAAATTAAGAAGTTCAAAGCATTATCTTTCCAAAAGATAGAATGATTTATAATTTCCAAAACAAGACTAAAGATGCCTTTCTAATGTTGAGAGACATGCACAGAGAAACTGAAAGAATTGATACTATAAGGTCTGATTTTTCCTAAAATCCTAATGCTTGGAGTAGCCCATTTTCGATCGAAGACATTGAGGATTTCCAGGTAGAAATTCAATCTAACTATCATAAAACTCAGTATCAACCTCCAACGAGTAACTTCCTGATGCAAAAACTTATGTCTACTTAGAAAAAGGTACCCTGGTATATGCCAAGCCATTTGAACTTCGGCAAAAGATTCCTTCGAGTCTCAGTCAATACCTAGGATGATGCAACTATATTCATCATAGTCAGCAGGCCTAAATTCCCAGAATACTTTATTCACAACAATACTGATGTTGAGATAGAATTTTGCTAGTTCAAAGTCATTTAGTAAGCATTAAAGTCACTAATCATAATTAGGAATGAGAATAGAAAATTGAAACCCGGCCAAAGAGTACCGTTTGTTTGGACAGACTAAACTTAGGCAATTAAGAAGCTCACAATTTTTATTGAGGGAAAAAACCAATCTTACTCAATTGACAAAGTTAAAAAATTCAATAAGCAGTTCTCAACTCCTAATGATGATTATTATGTCGAAGTCATGACATCAGGTGATGTAAGAACAGTAGAGATTAAGTCTAAAACAGTGATGAAAAGACTAGCTAGTCTTGTAAGTTTACTATCAGATTAATTGTACTTATTATAGAAAGATAAGGGCTCATCTTAGTTGGCTAAGCTATTCCTAGCAAGTTTTCTAAAGAAAGGCTTCATATTTAATATAGACTTGAAAGGAGTAGGCATATCCTTGATAGATAATGAGCCTAAAGAAATTATATATATGAGCATCTACAAGATATAATTCCTGACTGAAAAGGTATAAACTAATCTTAATTTCATAATTAACTTCGAATTAAATTAATAACTATTCCTCTATAGTGGATGGAGTAGCAAACTAAGAAGGACAATAATTAGGGTTAGAGTGATTCGATTTAAGAAGCAAATACTAAATATGACCTTAAGATTGATCACATCTAGATAGATAACATTCTTAATGATGCAATGCCTGTCTTCTTCTGTCCAACTAGAGAATTGGTCAAGGATGACGATAAGCCAGAAGATTAAGGACTGGAATAAAAAGATGAATCCAGCTATACTCCATTCATTCAGGTCATGATAACATTTTCAGAGATTTAGGACTAAGATGTTTACATCAAGAAATATAGAGGACTCTAAATCTAAGTCTAAGAAATGAAACTTGAACTAGAGACCGGATTGGTTAATGCTTTACTCAAATTCTCATATCAAATGCAGGCCGTTTAGTCTTAGAAGGCATAATTTGTGACAGGCTTTACACTTCAACAGCATAAGCTTACCAGAATTGATAGTAAGAGGCATGGATCTCTAATCTCCTATGTAAAGACTAGAGAGGAATTATGTCCTAATTTAAATGCAGCTATTCCAGAACCACCAAATATCGCTGTGATTACAGCCAAGAAAACATACTTTGAGTTTATTAATTTTGGAGCAATAAAGATGAAGATTACAGTGAGATTTGAAAGGAAAGCGTTTGAGCTTAAAATTGATGACCCAAGATAAGGCTTTGGTCTTGGAAGTATTTTCTATACATTATTTACATCAGTTGCTACTATATCAGAATCTCCATTGACATTCAAAGAGTTAATATTAATGCATACATTTACTTCACAGGAAAACTTGCAATCAATGGTGATTAGGAACTACACAAGACAAGGAGTTCTCTAATTTTATAAATTGATTGGAAGTTCTGATCTACTTGGAAATCCAGTGGGACTTATAGATAAGCTTGGCACTGGAGTGTTTGAATTCTTTAATGAACCTAGGAAAGGGCTAGTCAAAGGACCTAAAGAGTTTGTTGGAGGAGTTGGAAAAGGTGTCAAAAGTTTGGTTACAAATATAGTAAGTGGTAGTTTCGATTCAGTAAGCAAAATTACTGGTTCACTTTATGGAGTTGTCAAGAATGTTAGTGGTGATTAAGTGACTGATTAGCAATTGAAAAAACCTGAACATGTTTTTGATGGCATTTATCAAGGACTGAAAGGTGGTGGTGGCGAACTTTTAGGGGGCTTAACTGGTATATTCACAAAACCGTATCAAAAGGCCAAGGAAGAAGGAGCCAAAGGCTTTGTCAAAGGTTTAGGAGCTGGATTGCTTGGAGCTGTTGCTTCACCATTCGCTGCTACTTTAAGATTAGGTAACAATGTATCAACAGGTATTAAGAATTCAGCAATCAGATTGGGTAAAGGGAAGTTGCCATCTTATGGAAGATTCAGACATCCCAGATACTTTAACTCTAAGAGCATCTTAGAGCCATATGCTGAAGCTTTTGCAGAAGCTCATCAAATTTTGAGAACACTTAATAATGGCTAATATGCCTAGACAACGTAAGTTCACTGCTATTTTAAACTTTATATATAGGATCAAGTTCTTTGCAGATTTCACAGTAAGAAAAGGTAAAAATTATGTAGGAGGTATTTTGATCGTTACAGATCAATACCTTCTGTTTGTTGAGGACTTTAAGAATCTTAAGTTTGTGAGTCCCCTTACTCAGATCCTTAAATGTGAGGTTTTCTAAGAAGAACTGAATAATACTATTAAGCAATCAAAGACTAATAAGAAACAACAATCTAAGCAGTCTAAAAGGGAGAATTAGGTGAGGTATAGGTATTTGATGAATGTCGAGTCTCAAAAAAGAGGGGTTCTGAAAATTGAAAATGAGAACTATCCCATAATCGATAAAGTTTTCACTATTTTAAACAAATGAAAAGAAATTCATAATTATTGACGACAGATCAAGAAAAATTACAAATATTTGATTATATTTCAAACCAACCTTAATTTCATGAATCCATTAATTTCATCAAAGCGGGGTTTTGGGGTTTTGGGGAGATCGGAAGAGCG